AATTGGGAAAACATTGTCACACCACGAATAAGGTCTATTGCTTAAATTCCATCGAAGAAAAGTGGAAAAGTACACCAAGAAAGACCCGAAAAGTGAGATTTCTTTTGTATTTTAATGTTAGCCTGGAATACAAGCTAATTTTAAGAAGGGTTCGTCAGAGTACTGGAGAAAAGACCCAATCAACAAAAAAAACTTATTCACCAAGTTTCAGGTCGTTTGGCCATATACTAACAATGTTATAGAGCTATATGATACAGAGATCCTGTGTGAAGTCTGATCTATTGCCATGTGACAGTTGCCAATCTAATAATGTCACTTAATAATGAAAGTGATTGATTGGGGGTGGGGCTTCGAATCACGTGTCTGGAATTAATGTCTACGCATRTTCTTTTCTTGTTAGTTGCTGAAATCCAAGGATCAGTGCAGGATTGAGTAGCAATTAATTGGGTGGTATAAACAAGAAAGTTCAAGTTGCCGCGAAAAGATCTTTCTTTTGATCGTCTACTCACAATTTTAAGTTATTTTACGATGAAAAAGCAGACCCGTAGCAGGGRTAAAATTATTGGGGGGGCTCGTTTTGCCACGTCCCCCATTTCTTTCAAGTATGTCTTGTTTAGAGTTTTCCTCATTTATAAATGCCAACAATGTGAACTTTTTTTTGGAAAAATGAGTCGCCTCTATCAATTTTAAGATAATAGTGTTTGAAATTTAGCTGTACGTTTACTTTAAAAAAAAGATGGCTTCAAACCTTTCATCGAGTTTCTTTACTTGCTGTTCACTGATTATGAGATTATAAATTCTTTAAACTAACATAAAAGTGATAAGGTTATTTCGAGTTTTAAGCTTGATTTGGACGACCACAAAAGTGATTTCGTAAGGCCAATCGACAAGATTGCTCGCCGTTATTTTTTGGGGATTTACGCAAAGCCCAMTGCATCAATTATCTAATGGTCCGTCCCTTAGTTACTCGYTGACATTTGTACCTTAGCAGATTAACCACATACTGATTTACGGTAAATATACACACATGAAGGAATTTGTTGAACAGCTTGGCTTATGTGGGCGAGTAAATGCTAATATTGCAAACTTCTTCAGCTGTACTAGACCTCTGTGCGTGATACAGGCAGCCCAGTCAACTTCTAAAGGGTGTCTTGTTTTTCACTGAAATTGAATTTAAGAAGCTAGAATCCATCCCTGTTATTCTTACTGCTCACGCTTGATAATCTTCATACTTYATTTTTTGAGCATGCGCATTAAGAGTGACAGGATTCTGAAGTCGACAGTAAACGCTTCACGTGACTTAGGGACATCCTGCGGACGATCCACATTAAATATTTATTTTTTGYCCTTTATTTTTCTAGTGTCTTCTTATGAAGATTGTCAAGGACATAGGTAGGCCAAACACCATCTTGCACTGCATACCAGTGAATAYCAGTGGGGCTATCGTTATTTAGTTTAGTGAAGCTACAGAGATGAGCTGAATAGATGAGAAACAAGAGATGAAAATAAATGGTTCGGAATCAACTGAAATGCCTCAGTTTCCATCTTGCGGATGGATAAAGCTATTCCTTTTTTCTTACTTATCTGGGCCTTGCATGACGAGGAAAATTAACTGAAGGCAAAAATTCACGCAAATTATTAATTTCTCTTGTGTTGCAGAGTGGATTGATCACGTGTTTGTTCCAACCAACCACCGGCGACTGCTTGAATGTTATGGTATAGTGTGTGATGGTCTTCGTAAGGCGGGCATACCTTACGTGGACAGTTGTGCAGGCCTGTTCATCTGGGTTGATTTAAGAGAGGTTTGTTCATTTGACTTTTGTAGGCCTCGTTAATTTTAGTCGCGCCAATACCACAGGAAACCCACAAAAGACTAGAAAAGGGTGAACA